GACAGGAGATATGCCGACAGTTGATCGGCATGGCTTCACATTGAGGAGTCATGAGACAACCTCCCTTATGGGCTGAAGGGGGAGGTTGTTGGGCTGATGGCCCATATTCAGCCCATGTGGGCTTTATCAGCCCACAGCCCACACCCTCTCTTAACCTAACCCTAATTAAGATTAGGGGGGTGTGGTGGCTGCGTTTTAGAGGCAGATTAAGGCTATAAAAAGGCAGCAAGGAAGAGAAAGAAAGGGAAGAAGACAAGGACAACGCAAAGAGACTGTTCACAATCATCTAGCAGTGTTCTCATCTCAGGTTAGATCAAATCTACAGTAGACTCTTGCTGTGATTACTTGGGGAGGTTTTAGATATTGTGGGCAGTGACGTGATCCTTGTATCCCAGTTATTCTCTTGTGGTTGTTGCTAGGGTTTTGGGCAAGAGATTGAGATTTGTATATTCATTATTCTCATAGTGGATTATCTCTAGTCTGTCCCGTGGTTTTTACCCTTCACATTGAAGGGGTTTTCCACGTATATCTTGGTGTTCTGTTTGATTGTGTTTCCATTTTATTCCGCTGCGTATTTTGATCTTCTAGTATTTGTTCCTATACAAAGGTTATTCCTCTTTTTATCCCCATCAGCTGCTTCATCTCAAAGGAACGGCATCGGCATTGGAGAGCCAACGAGTCCACAGCAGCGGCAAACCCAAGAAGATGCACTTCCGTTCTCTCCATGAGATCTCTCTCGTTAATGGCTTCTGTGCTCTGTTTTATATTCAAACAGCCTCCTTTAATTTGCATCCAATTAAGGTTCTAATTTCCAGAAAATACTTGGAAAAATCTTGAAATAGTCAAGGATTTGGGAAATCTTGATTTATTTCGATGCATTTTGATTAATGTCGGAAGAAAAAGGAAGTGGAGTGTCGTTATTCTCTCATTTCTATCCATCAAGAGAACAACTAATGGAGTCCAAAACCTAAAACAACATGAAATAGAGTATATTATATGATTATGCATCATGAAATAGAGGGTTGAAACGTGCAACATATTATTTTGTTGGGTCCGGCCCTTGGACTAGATGATTTGGACAGTAAACCTAAATCTAATTTATTAAAAAAATAAAAAAGATAATAGACGGGGGAGCGAACAAGACGTGCGTGCCGACATGAGAAAGAAACAAATAGAGAAAAAGTTAAGGTTTTGGGGACTTTTGCTAGATGATCGAGCGGCTAAACTTCGTTGATTTTTGTTCAAATTTTATATGAAGAATCTTAACGGTATCGATCTAAAGTTTATTTTTTCTAAGGTACTTTCTTGCTATATCTATTTTGTGAGACATAATTTTTTTTTTATGAAATCTATATTTAATGATGATGTACGGTAATGTTGAGTTAAGATATTTATTCTTGATGTTACTGTGATTCTTTGTGATTTTTTTCGCATTGAGTTTTTCATGTAAAAATTCAGTGTCTCACTTTGTAACTGATTTATTGTTCTACTGTTTATACTGATTAAATTTATATTTTGATAATAAATTAATATTTTAATAAAAAATTCATTTTGATACATAAAAGAAAAAAGAATTATTTCACTATAATCATTTTCCCAATATATTTGACCGTTAGTCTCGAATGACTCTTTCCTTTTTTTATTTTTTTTTCTGAATCAAAAGTCAAACGATTAAGGAAATTGTGCATCAGTGATTCACGTATCACGAGCCATCACATTTGATTGAAACCACAGCTTATTTATGTAGAAGTAGACAACAAAGGAAGTGGTTCCGTGGAATCCTGAAAGCCTTACTTGCATGGGAAGTTCGGTTGCCGGCCAATGAGCCACGTACTGTTTGTCTTCTCCCCCGTCATGCTGACTGTTGTTGCATCATCCCTAAAGGCAGAGGAAAACGATGGAATTGGGTCAGCCAATATGAGATAAATGCGAAGGGACATGAAATTAAGTGTCAGATGGCTACTGGCGTTGATGATTTGGTGCAGTTGTGAATGCGTGGTTCAGCGTAGGCAAAAGACACGACGGCAAACGAGAACTTGTGGCCGATACGTCTGCTTTCCGATTAGGCCTTCGTGTCCACATCGAAAAACCAGTAAGCTGAAGTGACAACACAAGCAGCGTCGGCTGCCCCCCATCCACTCGACTCCGAACATGGCGGGGTGTCATCTGCGTGGCAGCGCCGTTAAGATGGGTGTTTGGGCCATTTGGGGTTGCAGGTCTCAGTGTCAATCATTTATCGTCCTCAATTTGCCCCCTTAAGGTCACTTTCTCACTCTCTCTATCGCGTGGACGTCACCGTTGTCTGGTCGTCCTCCCATTACCGCCAGCGGCCCACGGTTTTATTTCCTCCTTCCCAGAGTGTGGAGGGGAACAGCCGATGGTTGCTGATCGAGCAAATTTAGGACGCGACTCTTCTGCGAGCTCGCTCCTCTATATTTGCCAGGCGTCGTCATGCGGCAGCCGCAGCGGTACGTGCAAGGACCTTGAGAGAGTGTTGAATACAACACACATATAAGAGGAAGAGAAGATGAAGATGCGCAGAGGTGGCAGAACCGATTCCAGAATGGAGAGGAAGACGGTGGAGAAGTATAGGAGAATGCACATGAAGAGCTTGTGCCTCCAGCTCTCCTCGATCATCCCAAAAGAACACATGACCACTTCAAAGGTAGAGTAACCATCTTCTTTGAGCTGCTCTCGGACTGTTCCTTTTCTGCAGCACTCGATGCTTACCCTGGATTTGGCCTATGGTATGAGAGCGCCTTTCTTTCTTTCTTTCTTGCTCTTTCCTCTGTTCTTTTATAGGATTCCACAGGTGGATGAGATCTTGTGGTTATTGGTCTCTCAATTGTTCATGTCTACAAACTTTTCAAGGATAAGTACTCCTAAATTAATTGAAACTAATTGAATCCAGTGAGGAAAGCATAAAGATGAACAATTTAGAGTATTCTTAAATTAATCGTAATGTTTTGCTAGAAAGAACTCAAAATCACCTTCATTTTTGGAGGGGATGAATAGCACTGTGAAGTTGTTTCTCTTTTAAGAACGTCCTCAGTAAACCTCTATCCTAACCTATCTCTATGTTATAGAACGGACTGACACAGAATGATAGCCTGGATCAAGCCACATCTTACATCAAGAAACTCGAGGAAAGGATTGAAAACTTGAAGCAGAGAAGGCTCACTTGGGCCATGACGGAAACAAATGGTGTGACAGTAGGATTTCAACTGCCAATTCTTGAAGTAAGGCACCGGGACATGGACTTGGAGATTCTTCTGATAAGTAGGGTGAGTAAGAGATTCATGTTCCATGAAGTGATCAATGTTCTTGAGGAAGAGGGTGCAGACGTTGTTAATGCTAGCTTCTCAACTGTGGGCGACAAGATCTTCCACACGATACATTCAAAGGTAATCATAACCCTTCTTTTCTTTCCTTGCTTTTTAGTAGCTAGCAAATTCTGTGGATGGCTCAAACTAATTAAGACAGCCCATACTCCATAATCTAACAATCGAAAGGTTTCGCTTGGTATCGAACTGGTGGATGTGAGGATGACTACAAGTCGGTGTCTTCTGCAGGCTTTTAGCTCCAGAATTGGCTTGGAGGCATCGAGAGTGTCCGAGAGATTGAAGGATTTGGTTCAGTAAGCATCTCATGGATTTGGTGGAGCATCATTGTCTATTAGCAGATGTGGAGAAAATACACACCGGAGAGAACTCGTGTTGCTTGATGCTGGAGGTGGTGGTGCTTGTAATTGAGGTAAAGAGGACTATGTAAATTGGTCCATGGAAGAACAGGGAGGAGCTTCTGGCTGTTGACACTTCCAGCTTTGAGCTTAGAGTAACAAAAACTGGATGTATCTCTTATATGGATTCGAATCCGAAACATATCATCGATGAGATGAATGAGGATGCTGTCAAAAATTAAACTTTGTGAATCAACCACTATTTTCTCCCATAGAATTGATCTGATTATTTAAATTATGGATGATCACATCATCGAAGTGAAAACAGAAATCATTCGGGGAAGAATGAGATGTAGCCAACTCAAACTTTAATTAACTTACTCTCCTGCACACAGACTATAGATGCACGCTCTTATTCTAACCTCTATATATATCATCAGAGATTTGATTGCAGAAGAATTGGGCAGTAGAAATCATCTTCATGGTCGAGTACGTTAAAACTGATCTGAGACACCAATTCAGGCGAGGTGCACACATTAGAAATCATCTTCTTCTGTTCTCGACCTTCACCAGAGGTAGGACAAAACCGACTGAAGAAAGAACTGGCTGGAGGAAGAAGAAGCTCTCCACTCTGCTAATGGGGAGTAGATGAACATGACTGACGTAAAGAACTTGAAGAGGAGCAAATGGCTGCTACTGGATTAGATGCTCGAGTGCTTTCCATAGAACATCTCTGAACTTGTTGACATCCAGCTTCACATTCTGGTTATCCATGAACGTAGACCTCAGCACCTGAAACCCGCGACTGTGGAAGGACATGGGGTCCGTGAACACAGGGTGGTCTCTTGGAAATTGCTCCGTCAGGCTGCTCTCATCGATGGTGATACTGTACTGCACATAGTGGAGCCCCATTTCCTTGGCAGGGTTCCCGAAATCCAGCATCGCCTTCCCTTCCAACCCACCCCATGGAACGATCTGTATTAGGGTGGCACTAAGCGGCAGGAAGACCATTTGGGTGAGACCGGAGCCATGCACGCCCATCATCACGTCGCAGGAGTTCACGATCCCTGCCATCCGAGCTATGTCAGATCCTGGATCTGCTTCTTCGACGACCACCTCGTAACCCAACCCCTCTGCCATTTCAACTATCTCATTGATGTTCGTGAATGCTCGTGACTGCTTCCTCGCAATGATCAACAGCTTCGGCTTCCTGACGGAAAGATCTTCGATGTTAACCAGTGTTTCTCTCGCCAACGAGAAGGCGCTCCTCGTGAGCTTAGTGAAGTCGAGCATGGTGTAGCCATTGGGAGCTCTCGCAGGGTCGATGTGGAACTCATTGTGAGCTCGAAGACCTACCTTCACCTGCTTGAAGCAGTGTACTTCTTTGTCCTTGTCGAAGTCGATCGCCGGATACTTGGACAGCTTCTGGAGCACGGGAAGGTACTTGGTGATCCACCAGTTCTTGAAGTCGGTCACCACGAACTGAACCTCTCCGTCGAATGGACGAGCGGTCAGGAAGAGGGGAACGAGCAGGTCGCTGAAGTCATGGAAGAGGCTACCGGCATATCCGCCAGTGGAGAACACGATGGCCGGAGCATCGTGGTTGACGGTGCATACAGGGGCCTCACTGCCTGCTTCGACCGCGAGTTCTCTGACACCTTTAAAGCAAGCCTCGTCCCCCTTGCGAGGATAAGGATGAATCTGCCACAGTTCTTTCTGCTCTGTTTTCGATGCTTCCACGAATATGATAGATGAGGAGTTCCCCGGAATCCTAACATCACCATACATTTCGCAGACATCTGTTCGTCGGTCTGAATCATCACATAATGGCTTCCTCTCTGGAGTTTGAATCTGCTCGCCTCCATCTTCGTACGGTGAAAAAGAATCAGCAACTCACTGGAACCAAGAGCAGAATAAATAGAGGGATCCAATCGACTTACCTGAGTGCTCAAGAACAACCGTGCCATCTCCCTGAGTGCGATCATTAATGGTGTAGTTCGAAATGGTTGGCAGTGCGAGTCTATCATGCGTCTCTTGTTGATTCGAGCTAGGATCATCTGAAGTTATACTCATGCCATTCTCCTCTGTCTCGGTTTTGGTCTCTGTAACATAAGAGTGGAAGGTTACATGCATCGAATGTTTTCATCTGATCCAGTAGACTGTCGGCAGATTTAGATCCAGTTGCTTGAGATTACTACAGTCGACAATAATAAATCATGCTCATACCTTGTAGTTTGTGGATGTTCGTCTCTTCATTCGGAGTTGAATCAACAACAATCACATTCTTTTCTCCTCCCTCTGCTTTCTCCTTGTTGCTTTCTGCAACACGAGGAACACTGTCAGCTTCCACTTTATATAGAACCAATTGCCTTTTCTCAGCTAAGCACACAGAATTGACTAAATCCAAGCTAAAAAAACTACTTTCCATCGATAAAAAGATTCTCCTTTTTTCTCTTTCATGGAAGATCAAGTCGATAAGCTTCAATTCTACGAACAAACAGAAGGAATGAGTAGATAGATTACCTAATACCTGAGAACTTTGTGCATCTTCCTTTCCTACAGGAGCTGAGTGACTCCCCTGTATCCCACGGTCATCGCCATTCACCGCATCGTGATCTGAAGAAAGGCCTAGTCAGAGCTAAAAAGAGCGTTCGCAAGAAACATGCAGCAATCGATGGATGCAAGATCTGCGACCTACCCGACTGCGGAGGAAGCAACGATGGGCCGAGACCGACTGCGACGGCAGATAAAACATAGATGAAGAGCTCAAAAACAAGGATTTGGGAACGGGACATAAACAAAGGCGAAGAGTGGTGGCTTACTGTTGGAAAGAAAGAGTGTCTGAGGCCTAGACACCACCAAGAAGGTCATGGTGACCACAAGGCATCCGACGATGAGAAGCACGAATCTGAATCTTCGCGACTGGTTGGCGTTTCGAACCGACCTCGGTTTGGAACCCATCGGCATCAACTCTGTTCCCGGGCAAGATGAGCAGGCTTCTCTTACGACGAAGAGGAGCGGTGGTTGCCAGCCTAGACTGCAGCAGCACCTTCTCTTCTTCGGTTGAGTTGAGGCTCCGGCGGACGGAAGTGTTCGGTCGTTGCCTTCTACCAACTTCGGGAACCGATTTGGACTACCTTTCTCTATTACTTTTATTGGGCGAATTCTCTATAAAAAAAAATACGGAAATTATTATTATTTTTTTTTTGCCGTCAGTCAGGAATTATTTTTTAATTTAGAAAAAGGAGGAGAAAATATTGCGAGATGAGTTCGAAAGTCGGCATTTATTTGTACGAACGGTGCGTGCGGAGGACCACATACATTATTGCGTAATTGAATAGCCCACGCCCTCCCTTTCTGCTTCCGCGTCGTTATCTTCCCTCTGCACGAATGGGACCCGCAGCCTCGTGAAGTGGGCCAGTGTAGGTGTAACATGTACACGGTAACAAGTCTGTTGAGGAGAAGACATGGACTCGTGCTGAGCCTTCACATGCCTTCGATGCCATGGTTAAACCACCTGTAGACAGCCGTGTTGTGTTCCTGCTTCTCCTTCCAACTAATCTGGCGACCTTGAAATCAAGATAGGTAGGTAGGAAATCGACCCCACCATACGAACATGTCACATATGTTTAACTTAAAGTTGTGTGGACCCATGTCACCGCTTAGCTGTCATCTATGCTGGTTTGCGCTCCATCCGTTTGATTTGGATTCCCAAAGCTGGGCGACGGCTCCGTCACCAATGAGATCTGAGTCGGCGAATTGGCCCGACAAAGACGGCCCAACAACTAGAATCGAACGTATCTAATTGAGTATTACTCACTCGTTTGAGGACAATTATACTTCTCTCTTGTTCTCATTTTGTGTGTGTTTTGTCGTGAAGAAGACAATTTCTGTATTAGGAAATCCAAATCTTATCTAATAATCCATCCTCTTAAGAAAAGTAAGACTGCAATGGTTGTTTGGATTAATTCCAGGGTTGGCGAAAGATCTCACGGGCATGCCACAGAACACTCCTAAACCTCTCCACATCAAGCTTCACGGTCTGCCGATGCATGTACAAGGACACCCACCGTGCCGACCCCTGCTTCTCGAAGACGGCTTTGGGGTCCAAAATCACTGGATCATCTTTGGGAAACTGGTCGATCAGATTGCTCTCTGGTGCTCTGATGCTGTACTGCAGGTAATGCAGCTTCACCCGCACCGCCGGAGCTCCGTAGTTTATCCAGCACACGTCCTCCATTCTGCCCAGTGGCACGATCTGAATCAGTATCCCGTTGGTGGGGAGGAAGATGAGATTGGTCATCCCGGCGCCATGCAGGCCCAACAGCACGTCGCACGAGTTCACCACCTGCGCGAACTCCGCCAGACTCTTGTTCTCGTGCACCTCTGACACCACCGCCTGGAAGCCTGACATCTCCACCATCCGCGCGATCTCGTCCACGTTGGTGAACCTTCTCGTTCCCTTCCTGTTGACGATCAGCACTCTGGGTTTCTTCTCCTCGTCTGGATTTGCAAGCTTGATTGCGGTCTCACGCTTCAGTCCAAGGGATTTCCTCAGGTACGCTCCGTAGTCCAGCATCGTGAGCCCACCGGACTTTGTGGGGTCGATGTACAGGTCGCCGTGGAATATGATCCCCACAATAACATGGGAGTAGCATCGGACTTCATGGTCTCGGTTGAGGTCGATGATGTCGTAGCGTGAGAGCCCCTTCAGTAGTGGTTGGAACTTCTCGACCCACCATGGGAGCATATCCCGGATCAGAAACTGGACCTCGCCATCGAACCGGTGAGACGTAATGTAGAGAGGGATCAGCGCATCGCTGATGTCGTGGAAGAAGTTAAACATGTAGCCGCCGTTGGAGAAGATGACCGCTGGGACTCGGCTCTTTGTTGTGCATTTAGGTGCCTCTTCCGCGGTGGTAGATCTCACCGTCACTTCCGTCACGGTAGCCAAGGCAGCATGGTCTCCTTTCCGAGGATGAGGCTGTATCCGATAAGATTCCTGCAATCCCGAGGAGGTAACGAAGAGCACGGAGGAGGAGTTTCCATGGACCCTGATGTCGCCCTCCATGTCGCAGATATCTGCTCTTCTCTGTGTTAGATCGCACAGGGGCTTTCTCTGGAGCTTCTCGCCAGTTTTGATCTTTGCATCTGCACGTTTCGCCCAAAACCTTTGGCGTACTCGTCGTCCGACAATGATTCGAGAGCTAAAAAAAGTTTCAGACGACCAGATTACCTGGATGATCAGAAGTGAGCTTTTCCTCTGTCTTAGCACCAGCAGAAGCGGAATTACCAGACAGTGAAAGGCCAACTGCAGAACCATTCAAGATTAGGTACATCATCAGCTCCAGCAGAGGTTAATGGATTAAACCAAGCAAAACAGAACAGGATAAGACTCTACGCTTCTCATCCACCAAGCAAGACAGAACACAAGACAGAGGAACTCACAACCGGGAAAAGATGCAGCGTAGCTTGTAGTCAACACCAGAAGGATCATGGAGAGCAAGAAACATCCTACGATCACACCCCAGCTGAGGCTACGCCTGACATGGCTCGTCGGATTTCCCATCTTGGTGGTGTGTCTCAGGCTTCAACGTTCATCCGAATCAGGAAGAACCACACCAAAACCAGGCTTCGATCACAGGCTCTGTTCGTCTTCGGCGACCTAAGCGTGGAATAGAGATCTGCAGCCCGGCAACTCCTCTTGAGGAAGCTGCTGGCAAGTGGCTACTATTATAATCCCCATCGGTTGTGCAGACTTTTCTTATGGTGTGCACTTGCAGTTGATTGGAGCGAGCAGGACTTGCTTGTAGATCCAAGTTGTTGATGCCAAATGAATGGCATCTGTAGACCTTTTCTTCGAGTTGACTTGGAAAATTCTTATTCATGAACAGAGAAGGTAGCATAAGGAATTCAGTATGCAACTGTGCAGCGATCATGCTGAACATGTAAATGTTCCTGAAAAGAAAGAACCAAGAGTCGAGCATCTCAGGCATCACATGGAAGTCGAAGTTGGTGGAATCCCAGTTTAAGAGATTCCTACCAACAATGCAGCAGAGTGCTTTATTAATAGATCAACTGGTTTGGATCATCTTCACCAGACTGTGTGAGAGAGAGAAAGAGAGAGAGAGAGAGAGAGAGAGAGAGAGAGGACACTGTCATAAGCCATTCATTATTACGTATGATCTTTGGAAGTCGCACGCAATAAAATTCAAGGTTCACCCAAGCACGATTCTTGGATAGTCGTCCGAGTAGCAGTACAGAGTTGGTGATGACCATTTCTCAACCCTTCGATTGTCCAGAGAGAGAGAGAGAGAGAGAGAGAGAGACGATGAGAGATGACCAGGTTATGTCTTTTCTCGAATGACCCACAAATTGACACAGGATTTAACTGGTGGGACTCGGACACAGCCTCGAATCAAGTCACGACTCTCGGCCCTTTGCCTGAGTACGTGACGTTTGGCGTCATAAGAAAGCATGCATGTTGTTCTTTGGGCTTCGCTCGCCCGAACACGGAGGCCCAATTGAGATATTTTCTCATTGTAATCGTTATATTGATATGTTACATTTTGTATACTTTATAATTTATATTTGGTTCTATAAATTTTGATTGTCCGATACGTTAGAAACTCAGAACCAATTAGTAGTCCAACGTTTGAGCTTATCATAAATATAATATTGAGAGATCGAGAGGATTCAACATAAATCCTATAAAAATTATATCAAAGATATACTTGACAAACACCCATAATAATTAAAAGCTAATGGAGTCTGAGGATTTAGATGCCTAAAGATATACTTGAGAAACACCCAGCCTTTGATAGTGAACTAAGATAAGCATAGTAGTTTATTAGGGAATTAACATGTGCGTCTATTACATAAAATCATCGATTATTATTGAGCATATGTCGAATAATAAATTATCTCTTGGGTCCGCAAGTAGTGTCTCGGATCGAACTTTCTTGGATAAGGAGACAACCATAAGATAATATTGTCTGGACTCCTTTGGGTTGCTTCTTAATTCGTCAAACTCTGGTATTGGTCAAAAATTTCATCAACATTAGATAAGTTTAGATAATTATCTATAGCTTATTCAGTGTAGATCATTCTATGATGATATTGTACGTCGAGGAGATATCGATCATCATAAACTTGGTTTTTACTATTTTTTAGTATGGTTCCTTTTCAAAAGTAATGTGGAGCCCATGATCCCGAGAGAGGAGATTGAATCGTCAGTAAACCTCGTTAGTAAGAAAGTCATAAGGGTAAGATCACTAGTCGTAAGTCTTAATCTTTGAATGGTGTAAAAGGATAAGATCACTAGTCGTAAGTCGTAAGATCACTAGTCGTAAGTAATATCACTACTATTATTTGTGTCAATCATGAACCTTTTTACGTGGGCACCGACCATTCCTACAGTAACTATCAAAGCATCATCTTGATTTAGGTCGAAACATACTATCTTCTCAAAAGTTATTTGTTAGTTGCTTTTAGTTCGGGGATGCTTGCCAATGATGGTTTGGGCATTTGCTTTGTGAACCAAGGTGTTATCTCCTTTGGAGGCTAGGCCATCGACAATAATGTCTATTTGCCTTTCGATTGACCCCTGAGGTCACAATGATAGCTCTTGATGCCTTCGAATGAATTCTCCGATGTGCCCTCGTCATATGAGTTCTTCAATTTGTTCTTTCATATCATGATAATCTTCCGTACTGTGACCATAATAACGATGAAAATGATAATATTTCACTTTGTCTCTTTTTTCGATTAGAGTTACGATGACATCAAGGATCTGCCGCAACCATCATGTCAAGCTAACTATCCACCCAAAGTCAATTTGGAGTGAATATTGTTGTTGAATAATGGTTTGACCTACGTGTCAAATTAACAAAATACTTAATAGGGCATTTCGAGCCATTATATCTATAAGTTATTTTATATTAACTATGATTAATGAATAAAGTGTTTCAAAATCAAACGAGTAAAGAGATCAATACATTAAAAGGAGAATTTGGAATGAGATAACTCTTAGTATGACATCACTTGATTTTGCTCCGTAATTATAACGATGAAAACTAATACTTCTTATTCTCACAAATGAACTAAAAAGAACAAATAGCTCCATAGCCATGACGTTTGGAGAGAGGACAAGAATAATCATCATGCCAACATTCAAACCCCACAAAATCACTCGTATAACTTAAATTATAAGATTTAATAAACTGATAGGCCATTACTTAATTATTTATCGATGACATTTACTATAATGCTTTTGATTCATCATGCAATTGTTGTGATCTACTAAAGAAAATAATCACGAAACACAAACAACTCGCTTATAGCTTGTAATTAGAGAATCTTATGACCGACACATTGATACCATAAGAATCCTCCCACCCAATTTTGAAATGTGTCTGCAAAGTTGGTAGAATAAGACATAAAGCAATGAAGTGCATCCATTAGTCAAAATCAAACTGAGTCTTCTAATTTAGGAGCTGAAGTGTTCTTGTCACCCGACAAAAAGACATTAGAAATTCTTATTATTGGACATTATTAGAAATTTGAGTCTTCTAATTTACGAGCTCCTGAGCTTTGTTACCAACATGAGCTTCAATTCTTCTTTTAAGGTTCTTGCAATGAACACAGCAATGCTAGTTTTGGACATCTTTGATGGACTCCATAACAATCAAAAATTAAGTTGCAGATGCTCTTTATTTTATGGGATTCATATCTCCCCACGTAGATGATGCCATCTTCTTTGGCCGCACACGCTGAGTTCTTTAAGCAATAGGTAGGCAGTTAACGTCTCTGTATGTGACATTGTTCTCATTGGGGTATTCCTCTCTAATTTTGTTTTCGTTCTCATCAATCATCATCTGGTAGCCTTTCTTTTTCTCCAATAGTTGATTCAGTCGCACTACCGTCGGCTTCAATTCTCTATTTTTAGACACAGATTAATTCATTGTGACGATGGCTAAAGCCATTAGATGTAATGACACGCGAAGTATATTTCAATTTATAGGGAGAGGTTTTCTATATAAAGCAGAGAGAGAGAGAGAGTTTGGAGTAAGAAGTAGGCATGAAATCCAGCACCGATAGCTCCGGCCATGTCAAACCGAGGAGGCTCAGCTGCGCTGCCCTCTGCGGATGCCTTCTCATGACCGTGGTCCTTGTATGCCTCATCAGATCCACTTCCAACAGCGTCAGCACATGTAAGTCCCATCGTCTAATGTTTCTTCTCCGAATTGGATTGATGCTTCATCGAAGACATGGCAAATCTTTTTATTTGCAGTAAGTTTACGACTGTTCATCGAAACCAATGTGTCTTTCCCTGAAGCTGTGGAGGAATCCAACGCAGAACGACAAGGTTAGACATTACTGTTTTCTTCATCATCTCCGTGAGATTTGAATCATCCACTATTGTTAACCAGTAGCCAAGCAGAAACCCAACTATGTTTTTGAAACACACCATCTTGAAAGAAAGAAAGAAAACAACGAGAGAATCTGTACCATTCTGGCTTCACAACAACAACAAAAAGATGAAAATGCCTTCTTTCTTTGAGAGAGAGAGTTGAGATGCTAAGCTTCTCTTGTGTATTTCATCAATCAACATCTTAGCGAAAGGGAAATAGCTCCTACAAGCATGTTGCTCGTGGTTCATGGTTCTGAGATGCTCCACGAATCATTACACGTATAGAACAGAGCAAACATTGTTATGATCTTAATGCTAAGCGAGTCCGTAGTTGCTGTGTTTTGAGTATGATGGTTAAGTTGTCGCTATTACATGTTGGTGGCAAGTCATTTGCTGCATGGTTGACATGCAGATCCATTTGCCATTTGGATCAGAGATGCCACCAAAAACAAAAGGCAAAAGAGAAAAAAAGAGAACAGAACAGCTCATTATTGGTCTCTACAAGTTTGGTAGAGATTCCTATGGTCCTATCTCTCCCTCTCTCTATGTAAGAAGAGCCTCCAGAGATGTAGTTCTTGTCTTAAGCAAAGGATTAGAAGGGAAAACTCCAAATGAAACTTTTAGAGGATTAAACAGAGATCCAAGGAGGGAATGCCAATCAAAAAATGCCAAGGATGGCTTCCTCTGCTCGAGAAACATTACTTGTTGACATGTATCATATACACACAGAAAAGGGGCCTCTTTCGTGAAGGAGTCAAGAAATTGATGCAACTTTGGTGTTCCTTTGAGAAGAGGCAAGGCAAAAGAAATGAAATCTCACACTGTCCAGCTTGCTTTAGAGATTTTAGAACAGGGCTTTTGCTTTGCTATGTCTTCTAAGGATATATGCCAAATAACCTGCTGTCTTGTGCATGTTCTTTTGGCGATGATTCAGTCATTCAAGAAGAACGAGATGTCCAATTATAGTTGTTCCACCAAGTTCATCTATTTTGTAGCAAGGCCTACCACAGTTGTTAGATTACACTCCATGCTATCCTTTCACTGATGCAGATTAAGTCCCTTCCGAGAAGAGGCCAATGCGAGCGATTAGAACTCTTGAATTGTATTGCTCGCAAAACTTCGAAGTATTGATGCCCAAAAAAGGGATTAATCAAAGGCACAAACAGCTTGTTTTCAGGCTCCAACTTGGATCAAATTGGATCTTTAGCTGCAATCAGAACAGGAATAATTTGGGTTTCTTATTTGGCGAGGCAGAGATGGAGTGACGAGTCTTCTTAATCATGGATTCCTGCGTAATTTCCGTAACAATTTTGCATTGCAGAAAACAAATATTACATGTACTGTTCCAAGAGAGGACGATAGCAATAGCATTAAAAGACAATCAATCGATTCCAAATCAGATTTGAAGAAAAGATTACAAGTTTTAGCAGCTTCTTTGCACGACCATTGAATTCCATTAATGTATTCTTACTCTGTCATGATGCACCTGATACAGTTGGAACAGCAAGTCGACCTTTTTCATTCGAGGAAGCAGAAGTAAGCGATGCGTCCATCGAAGATGAGTTGCTTGAATCAGGTGAGCTTGGTGTCTTGCTATGTATCACCATCTCTCCACCACGAGGTAAAGCTCCTGCTCAGTAGAACCTGGTGTTGGATTGCAGGTAAACAAACAGTTGTACTCCCACAGCCGTTGAAGGGAAAACAAGAAGGAAGTGACTCAAATGCAGGTAATAAGGGAAGATTTATGGCACCCAATAAGCCATGCATCGCTTGTCATGTCAGCTAACTCTGTTTATGGTGCATCAGCTGCAGATGCGGTAGCAATTTTGCATTCTTCACGGATGGAACAACAGAATGAATCAGCAACAGGTCGGTGCAAACTTCTCAGTACATAATTTGCTGATTCCTCAAATATCTACAGGGGTAAAGAATAAGCTTGCCAAGTTGTTCTTTGCAGGCGATCGAACTGTGGTACTGCAACTTCAGTACGAAGGAAAGCAACATGAAAACGTGCCAAAAACAGGTACTTGAATCTATAATGTTTTACCTGCATATCATCAATCATCGTTCTGTATAATACTCCAACGCAGATAGTCCGATCGACGCAAGCAGAGTGGTGTGTGACTTCACGAGTGACCGATCCGATACGTGTTGGATGGATGGTGATATCAGAGTTCTTGGCAGGTCATCCACCATCATGTTAGCTTCGCCACCGACCGATCGAAGTCCGACGGAGAACACGACATGGAAGATCAAACCATACACGAGGAAGTGGGAATCAACGATGGAGTTTATCAAGGAGCTCACCGTGACGACAGCAGCTGATCCCCAGCAATCCCCTCTCTGCACGGTAAACCACAGCGTCCCTGCCGTTTTCTTCTCCACCGGAGGATTCGTCGGCAACTACTTCCACGACTTCACCGACGTGATCGTTCCCCTCTTCATGACCGTCCGGCGATTCGACGGCGAGGTCCAGTTCGTCATCACCGACCTCAACAACCAGTTCTTCGACAAGTATCAGCCGATCTTGAGGCGCCTGTCGCATTACCCAGCCATCGACATGGACACAGACGATCGAGTGCATTGCTTTCCCCATGCGCAAGTGGGTCTGATGAGCCACAAGGAGCTGGGCATCGATGCCTCCAGGTCTCCAAACCGGATCTCCATGAACGACTTCAGAGAATTCCTGAGGACGTGTTTCTCACTGGAGAGAAGATACAGCACGGGAATCGACCAGCAGGCGAGGATCAAACCGAGGTTACTGCTTATTCTCCGGAAAGGGTCACGGTCTTTCGTCAACGAAAGAGAAGTGATAGGAATGGTGGAAGGACTTGGCTTCGAGTTGATCACAGCCGGGCCCGAGGACGCGAAGAACCTTTCCAGCTTTGCACAGACCGTGAACTCCGTGGATGTGCTGATAGGGGTTCATGGCGCCGGGCTCACCAACATGGTCTTCCTTCCCACTAACGCCACACTGATCCAAATAGTTCCTTGCTGTAATTTGAAGGTGGGATGCAGGTACATCTTCGCTGATCCAGCCCCAGACATGGGAATAAGGTATGTGGACTACGTGATCGCAGACGAGGAGAGCTCCCTGATCGAACAGTACCCAAGAGATCATGCAGTTTTCAGCGACCCTCTCTCCATTCTGAAACAACAAGGGTTCTATCCTTTCTGGGATATATTTCTGAACCAGCAGAAGGTAAAGATCGATGTGCGTAGGTTTAGGAGTGTGCTATCGGAAGTTCTTCACTCTCACGTCAAATATTAAGAGTGAGAGATTGCTTGAGGATGCTGCCTATACTTCGTCTTTCTCCTATATTTCTCGTATTGATTGATTTCTTGGTTCCACTCGAAGAATGTAGTCGATTAGAACGAACAAACCCATTAATGGGAAGTATAAGAGACTGATATTTTTTTCTTTTTATTTTACAGTCCATCCATGAGAAAAACTTATAAGAAGAACACTTATGCAAAATGTGTTTGATGTACTGTCAACTTTGAACAGTAGATTTCTCCCTGTGGTCGAAATGCTAGCAACATCAGCGCTTACCATTCTTAGATGCAAATCCGAGATGAAACTTGCTTGAGAGATCGAGAAGAAAGAAATAGAAGAAAAACAAAAACGGATTGCATAAGAGAATAGCTCACGTTGGTAAGAACAGGAGTCAGATTATATATACTGGATTGACGCATAATCTAATAAGATTAGGCTTTTTGATTGGAAAAAAAATAAAGGACTGACCGATTTGGTTTGGAAAGTGATAAAAAGAAATTCGAATGAATTGGATTTAACGGGTTATTTTTTTCTGAATCAAAATAATTGATTGGTCGAATCAATTATTTTGTGCAATTGAGTTGGATTTATGATGTATCTACTTATATTTTATTAATGTATAACAAAATATTTTTATATCAGATTAGGTTCTCTTGCCTATATCAATATTAATAATAGGTAAGTATTCCATAAATATATTTAACTAATTTAATAATGTATTATCTATAATTTTATCCTGATTAATTAAGTTAAAAAAGTATAGATAAAAATTAATGAAATGATGTAAGGTTTTGATAAAGTCGTCAATAATTCTAAAAACTTATACATGACCCAATTTATTTATAAGTCTTAACATCTTTTCTCTCACACCAATTGATTTTTATTTGATGCACGAACCAAATAAGTATTTACTTTCGACAAGTTAATAAATATTATATAAATATTTGAGTATCTTTAGTTTTGAAAAAATTATACATAGTATATCTTATTTTCTAAAAGATGATTTTATCCTTTGTCTTTGCTTCATCGATCGTCTCTGTCATTGGCCACCTGTACTTACACCCTATTACCCTCATTGCTCTGACTCCCACCACTCGTCGTCCCTACCTCATTATTCTCATTGTTTTCATCGTCAACTTGACGAAGGGATTACGAGCGAGGTTGCACCTCCTCCCATATCGTCTTCATCATGTGTGGGGCAAAGATGATGGCTGACGAGACATGGGAGTAGTAAGGCAGAGGTGGACATGACCAAAGGTAGAGGCGGACATAACCAATGGCAAAGGCAGAGGTGATTAGGGGCGATGGCGAAGGGCAAAGGCAATGATTAATGGATCAAAGGCATGGATCAAAATCATCTTTTAGGAAAAATGGGTGCTCAATTGGAATTTTTTTTAAATGAGGATGCAAATTTATCAAAATTAGAAGTTTTTATTTAAAATTTACCTTAAATATTTTTAATTAAATATTAAAAATAAAGTACATAAATATAAGTTTTGGATTCATGATATGCTCTGATATTATATACTATTAATAAAATTTTAGAAGATCATAATTTATAACCCCATTTTAAAAAATTTAATATATTAAAATTATCCTTTTATAAATCAACATAAATATCCTCTATCATCATCTTCTTCCTCCTTCTCTTCTTCTTATTCTCCCTCTCTCGTTCTTCATCCTCCTCCCCTCTTGTTCTCTTCATCCTCCCCCTTGTTTTTCTTCCTTCTCTTCCTTTTTCTCTTTTTCATCATCATTCCCGCCCCCCTTTTCTTATTATTCTTTCTCCTCCTCCTCCTCTTTTGAGGGGCTAGTGAGCTAAGTCAGAGCATGACTTAAGAGGCGACAATCAATGGTAGAGAGCACGAGCTAAAGGGCGATAATCTATCATGGACGATTGTCATATACTTGCAACACATTCGAACCGTTCATCGCTTTTATTTGCTTGTACATATATATGACAATGTATTTTATCTTATTTTTGTCTATTTTTACTTAAAAACTATAAGTAGAAATAGGTTCTAGGGCTATAGAGTGATCACTCATTACAATGGGCAAAATTATCTCAGAATGATTTATTTTTCACGTGTCATGATATATTTTCTATAAGTTACGATGCGATGCGAAATGTTAGCCATCTCAACACCCTAGAACCACCCAAGTGTCACAAGGCTAGATGGTGGTTTAGGATAGTATTAAGTGTTGATTTGAAATCATAAGTTTGCATAAAGCTTATAGGGACTTGCCAACGCACCCGACATCCGTTGAGCTATCGTTTATAGAACTTGCAACTATTTGTTTGTATTCTAAAATCTTTGTTTTCTTCCTCTATTTTCTCCCTTGAATACCTAAATGTTTATTGAATCGCTTATAAAGTTGCTATTTTACAAGATGTTAGAACTTGTTCAACGCTCATTTTTAAAACTAGTCAATTTTTAATTTTATAAGTTCTTCGGGACTTATAACATAATAATATCTCATGACTTAGGTAATTTCAATTAAGTAATGATATTTTGGTATGAAAAGAGGAAAGAAATTCATGCAAATAGCAAAAGTTCGTAATATCGCTATGGTGAAGCATCATGACAAATCGAGTAAGACAGGGCAAGCAAACCATTACCTGAAGCCAATAAGTGAGTTACAAGAGCAAATTTGCTTTCTAAGCTGTTAGAACCGCTCAAGAGGAGCATAGTATAAAAAATAACGAGTGAGAAGTTGGTTATTCTCTGTAAGTAGAGGAAGCATAATCCAGAATGTCAATCGGAAAAAGAAGCCATAAGGAGATATTTATAATTACGAAAATCTACCTTAATATTCTCAAAATGAGTTTAGAGGAAGAAAACTTCTTGAGGTATAGAACTTACAACAAGAAGCGAAATCTTGGATCGACAAGGTCGAGTTCTGAGTCGATTGATTGACGGAAGACACCAAAGACTTCGTGCAACACCCACATGAAGTCACGACATAACTTACGTCCATAATTACATTGTTCATGATGGCTTTTAATGCGGGAGGGAATAACACCCACATTGTTTCATCACAAAACTTGAGGGCACTTGAGTCATATTGTTATAGGGATGACAAGAATACGAAAGAGCTCGATAATTTTCTATTTGATACAGAATAATACTTTAGAGCTGTAAGGTCTAATTCTGACGAAATCAAAGTTTTGATAGCAACCATATATCTGAATAAAGATGCAAAACATTAGTGGCAAACATATTGGGAAGAGATAAAACAAGATTAGTATTGAGTAGACATATGGGAAGACTTAAAAGCGGGAGTTAAGAACTTAGTTTCTATCCAAGAACATTAAGCACATAGCAAGAAAGAAGCTAGGATAATTCTACTAAAGTACCTTCATTTGATACTACATTAAGTAGTTTTTGACATTAATACTGGACATATAAGACATGTTTGAGAAAGACAATTTGTTTAACTTCCTCGATGACCATGAAACCATGGGCACAATAACAACTACATCGAAGGAATGTCATTGGTTTAGTCAAGACAATCTCAGCTACAGATAGGCTCCCCAACTTTATTTCCTTAGAGGACTTAGGGAAAAAATAATAATCTTCAGAAAATTATTTATCTAAGTGTTCCTGAGGGGTTTGTAATCGAGTAAAAAAAATTGAGTTCTCACAAATAGCCGAGTTCAAAAAATAAAGCCCCAAAACTTAGCGGATGCTTCTTGTGTGGAGGATCGCACGACGAGAGAGTGCCCATAAAAGCTAGCACTCAATGTATTGATAGCATCAATTCATCCCTCCATATTAGACAAGAGGAATGTTATTGCCCTTAGTTTGAGTAATTCAAAATCTAGCAATGACAATGAGGAATTGTAAAGATCTCTTTGAGTAATGCATTTATTGAACATGTTGCGAGGTAAGTGAGGAGACCATGAAGATGAAATAATATAAAGTAGGGAGTAACAAGTTGATATACATAAATATCAAGCTAAATGGCTAAACAACTTGTGTGATGGTGGACATTAGTGCTACCCATAATTTTATTACCGATCGACAAGCAAGGTGACTTGTGAGAAACCTGGAGAAGAGCTTAAGTCAAATGAAGGCTACGAACTCAGAGGAAAAGCAGATCTCCAAGTTATCGGATGGGTTCCTATCAAATTTGAGACGTTGAGTGGAAGCACAACACGATGGTGGTGTCACTAGATGACTTCCAAGTGATCCTCAAAATGAAGTTCACACACACGATAAAGATGGTGTCAATGTTCTTAAACTTTCTATGCCTGATGAGAGGCGATGACCCTTGCGTGGTTCCAATTTCTTAAGGAAGAACCAAGGATGACAATAAATATTGACTTTACAATTGAAGAAGGGGTGTGAAAAGATGAATTAACTTTTGTGATTATAATAAAGCTAGAGCCACTCGATATTGAGCCCAATTATTAAATTTATTATGATGACGAACATTGTAAAAGAATTCATAGATATTATACCACTTGATTGTCAAAAACTCTACTGCAACCCAAATGCACGGATCATCTCATCAAGCTGGAGTTGGGAGTGAATCATCTAGTGAGGCCACCATACCACATAGCTCCTCTAGAGTTGATAGAGCTCAAAAAGTAACTAGATGAATTGCTAAGCGATAGTCTCATCCATAATTCTAATGTACCATTTAGATATCTAATTCTCTTATAAAAGAAATAAAATGAGAGCCTCTGATTATACATCAACTACTGGGTCTTAAATAAGGTAGTAGTGAAGAACAAGTATCTTATTCCCCTCGTTATGGACTTTATTAACTAATTAAGAAAGAAAAAATATTTTTCTAAACTCAAATCGAGGTATTGGCAAGTGATGCCTTTCGGCTTAACCAATGCTTCGATCACATTATATACTCTCATGAATCAACTATTTGAGGAGTATCTGGACAAATTTATTATCATTTACTTAGAACGATATCTTTGTCTACAACTAAATGTTCGAGAAGTATGTCAAACACCCTTGAACAATTTTTAAGATTTTTAAGAAGAATACTTTAATCATGAAAAGAGAGATTTGCTTCTTTGCTCAGTCAAAGATTTTATTATTAGGTCACTAAGTTGGTGGAGGATCTATTTGGATGAACAAATTGAAGGTATAAGCCATGGTGGAGTCACGAACACCAAAGAAATACTAAAACTAAGATCCTTCCTTGGCTTTGTCAACTATTATCGACGCTTTAAATCTATATACTCGAAGCATGTGCTTTACTTATAGAGTTACTAACGAAGGAGTAGCTTTGGAGATGGTCTGATAAATATGAACAAGCCCCTATCTTATTAGATATCCAATAAGTCCCTAAATTATTGGATCCTATGGATGAGATTCAATAAGAGCCAATGAGAGATTATTTGATAGGAATCCATTGATCTAAGAGGCTTGGGTAGTTAGATGAAGATCCAATGCCCAATAAGGTTGGATCAATTATGGTTAAGTTGATAGGGGACCTTTAAAATATGAGGGAACTAATGGTTTATAAGCTAGAGCCTTTTTTGTTGCCTTCTCCTATTCTCCTCCTCAAAGCAGGCCTGGAGTTTTGAGGAGCGTTGTCATAGCCCTGCTATGTGGATCACCGTTAGAGAGGAGAACGCTTGACCTCCTTCAACTTCTCCTATAGATTTGTAGGGATTTAGGGATATACGATCTCCCTAGGTAACATAATCTATCCTATACGTAGTTTTAAGTTTTGTGATTTTTGCGCACCAATCATCGCACGACAACGAACACATCTTTGAGAAATTGGGATTTTATTTTTATGTTCTTCCGTTGCACATATGATGTCACCCCCTAGATTTTCCAACAACATGGAGGATCGGATGTGTCCTATTTTTCAATAAAATAAAATAGAATAATGGAAGCCAACGGAAGCTTTAGAGTCATTGCCCATATCAAAAAGGTTATGGGAGAGTATTTCCTTGGACTTCATGTCAAGCTTGTCAATAGTGGGGGAACTTGGATTGATACTCGTGGTAGTTGATTGGTTTTCAAAGTATGCAATATTCTTTGTTACACCCCTATATTGCTTAATGAATGAGATGGCCAAGTTGATAGTGAAAAATGTGATAAGATATTATGGAGTTTCACACAATATCATTAGCGATCATGATGCACGTTTCTTGGGACGATTCTGGATCAAGCTATTCAAATTATTAGGATCTAAGTTATACTTTGGCACAAGTCACCACCTCTAAACAAATGGCCAAATTAAAAAAATTAAATTTACTCATTGAGTAATATCTTTCACACTATGTGAGTTCCAAGTAACGAGATTGGGTAAAGATGTTGAACGTAGCTCAATTCTCTTATAACTTGTAGCGGAACTCTACATCCAACAAGAGTCCCTTCGAGATTATTATTGGATAGCAACCATCAACTCTTTATACCTTGGCGATTGGTTATACTGAAAATAGTTATCAGTGTATCACTTTGTAAAGAAATGACACTGAAATATAGATATTACTTAAGCATACTTGGAGAAGGCGACCGAAAAAATGAAGAAGTTGCCAAATTTAAGAAGATATTTACAGGAGTTCAAAGTTGATAGCCTGATGTTGGTGAAGCTTCAATCAGCATCATTGTAATTCTTTAAGCATAAAGTACACAAGAGACTAGTACATAAGTATGAATGACCATTCCTAATTATTAGTAGGGTAGACAATGTCTCCTATAAGTTATAATTGTCAGTGTGTCTCAAGATTCACAATGTCTTACATGCGAGTAACTTGAAAGCTTATCAGTTATATCAACAAGATACTTTCCGAAATGTTCCACTTTGGCTACCCTCACTAGAGTCTCGAAAGCGAGTTAAAGTCATTTTAATGAATTATAAAACGAAACTACCCAACATAGTATAGCAAATCAAGCACTTAGTGAAGTAACAAAAGCTTCCCCAAATAGAACCAATTGGGAGCATGAAGATACCCTACGATATAAAGTGGCCATCAAGCCTTACGAGCAAGTGTCGATGAGGGTATCGACAATTTAAATAGAGAGAATATCAAATACAATCGTCATGCACCCACAACACCTTCGTCAATGGATTTTGTTTGTTTGTACATATGTTTTAACGGAGTGTTTTGCATTATTTTTGTGTATTTTTGTTTGAAAACTGGAAGTGGAAATAATTTATAGAGCTACAAAGAAATTACTCATCAAAATAGGTAAAACTATCCTAAAATAACTTAGTTTTTGTATGTCATGACTTATTTTTTGTAAGCTACGATGTAGTGCAAAATGACAACCATCTTAGCACCCTAAAACTACTCGGGTGGCATAAGACTGGATGTGGGTTTGAGGTTGTGTTGGGCATTGATTGGATTCATAAGTTCACATGTAAAGTCTATAAATACTTACTAATGCTTCGACATTTGATGAATATTCATTCATAAATTTACGATTGTTTGCTTACCTTCTAAAGTTCTTATTTTTTTTTCTCTTACACATAAAGTGTTTACTAAAGTATTTATAAAGGTGCCCTCTTTCTCAATGTTGGAACTTATATATCACTTGCTTTTGGAACTAATTAATTTACTCTTTTATAAGTTCTTTAATATCTAAGCAATGTTATAATTAGGTTGATCCTTTGTAGACGAATAATACAAGAGTATTGATATAAATAATTCTAACTAAATTTGTATCGATAATGAATACGGACAAGAGGCGATAATCAATAATATTAATAATATAAATTGCTAGGAAATTAACAATGGTAGGGTGTGTAGCGACAATAATAGGACATGTGAGAAAAAAAAGATAAAATTAAATTTTAAAAATATTAATAATAAAATATTATTTTATTAATTTTTAATAAAATTATAAATAATAAAAGTTATAGGGTCTAAATAGCAAAAGATTGTCAATAGTAAAAAGAGATTACAGTGAGCTATTCATTAAATTGAATGATAAAAAATCCCGAATTTCCATATATTCGTAGGCTTTTACCATATGTATTTAAATATTAACTTTTTTGTCCGGTTGCTATTTTAGGAGATATTGATGATTAAAATGACATTTTAAAGAGACTGCGCAACGAATACCCAAACAGCTTAAAAGATTGGGAAGCTCAATTCGGGCAACAGGGGAAGAGAGAAAGTTGTGAAAGGAGGAACGAGGAATCGATCGAGAAAGAGATCATGGTGAGATTCTCGTTGGAGGAGGAGGGGAATCCCGTCGGAAAGAAGAGGATCAGAGGAGGAGGGTGTGGAGAAAACGTCTGTGGTAGCGCAAGCACGAAGAAGGATAAGAAGAGGCGAGATGAAGGCGAAGCGGTACGAGAACGAGATGAGGAAGGGGATATGCGCGTTGAAGCGGAGGAGGAGGAAGAAGAAGAAGAAGAAGAAGAAGAAGAAAAAGGTGGGGTTGAAGTGGATGAAGGAGTGATAGGGGAAGAAAGAGGGCAATCTTCTGGAGATGGCAACGTCTGCGTTCGGATGGATCCCGACATTCTTGATTGTTCCATCTGCTATGAGCCCCTGCGGCCGCCAATTTTTCAGGTTAGATTACGATCCAACTCTTGCCTATTTGCAACAGAGTGATCGGGTTTCTATTTACTGGATACTTAGCATCAGGGCAAATGGGGCTTCCATGTTTTGAAGGAGATTAACATGAAAATTTCCGTGATTGAACGTATTTTGTTCTTTAGTTGACCTAATTGGAATTCCACTTTGGAGATTTGGGTTTTGTATATCTTTGGCAGCTGACATCAACCATATTTGCATATTAAGGAAATCATATAGGCAAGGGTATGTGAAACTAGTTCACTATCCAATTATTGTTCAAGCTAACTCTTGATCATATATGGCAAATAAGGAAGCCTAATGGTAATTTTGTAGGTTTGACTAAGAGAAAATGTGTTTAAGAGGAGAAGAACTAGGAAAAATAAAAATGAGGACAACAAGCAAGAAAGGTGCATGAATAGTTATGATTTTGATGTTTACAGTACACTAGATCTTTTTTTTGTATTTATGATCTAACTTTGATTTTACATTTGGGCGAACACCGAAAGTTTTGCAAGAGCACATTGCTTATACTAGTCAGGAAGTCAATCTAGCACTTGTAGGGCAGATATTATCAGGAAGGTGTGCAGTATCATCAGGACAACTTTTCAGTCTCAATGATTTCGTAGTTAGCCAACTTTGACAAGGGAACTCTTCACAAGACTATTATTCATTTTGGTTATTTAATGTGCATTCAATAGATTATATATAATATGGTAAACTGGTTTTCCATGAAAGAAATTTTGATATATCTTTTTATGAATTAGATGCCATTTTGTGATCCTCTTTTATTCTTGTTGGCTTGGAATGGACAATAATTTTGCATTTGGATGGCTGGTGTTTGTATTAATATATTTCTTGTGTTATGTTTTACAACAACCCTTTGTGCTCTTGTTTTCAGCACCCTTCTCCTGTCTTTCATGTTCCCTTGATTTTGTTAGGCTAAACAATCTTGGAAGGTGATGCCTTGTAGTGTCAGTAATTTTAAAAGCCCACCAAATTGACTAGTAAAGTTAGGGTTAATGGATAAATTAAGAACGAAGTGATAGGGAAGCAATTTAGATGGATTGTGAATGCAAAAGGAATCTAGGAGACTAGTTTTGTTAGAGGGGCTTGAAGATTGTGTCAAAAGACAAAGTAAAAAAAAGGGAGAATTTGATTATCGTGACTGTTGCCAACAAAAGGACATTGAAATGTTTGTAAGAACATGAAAGAAGACCCTCATTTAGACAATATGAGAACACCAATCAAATCTTCTAGGCATATGCATGGGATAGTGTCAGGCCTTAGCAAACCTACTCATATATCTAAATTATTGGGATTGGTGGATGGATAATTCTTTGCTGTATAGATTAATGTTGTGCATCTGTAATTGTGTCATTGGGTGGAAGAGGAAAATTGTTACGGAGTAGTCAGACCAATAACAATATTGCTGCACTTATATTGCCCAAGCAAAGAGCTCTTGATACAGTCACTTTTTTGTTATGTGGTTTAAAGGGTAGCACTCATGACAATATATAATGCATTTATCTGTCTTTAAATGAGTGGTGGGTTGACTGCTAATAGTCATCTAATTTGGTTTTTGTTGCAGTAAGTTTTGATGAAATTAATATGGGGGACAAAGGGATTAGTGAGAACAACCAAATCATCAAAGATGCTATAAAGAGCTTCATTTAAATATCTGAAGTAGATTGAAATTTTGAAGTATTTCTCTGTTGAAGATGTTCCAATAAATACTTTTAATTATATACTTTATTAATAACCCTGTTTATGATTTACAGAATTATATGATGACAACTCTATGGACATATCAACCATTTGTGAACTTGTAAATGAGCTTATGTTCAGAAGTCTATAAATAAGCTTGTTTATGAGCTTATTAATAGCACAATTGATAAGCTTGATCGAGCCAAGTTTTACCATTGTTCAAATGTCACATTTAAAAACTGAGTTTTAAAGTTAGGACTGACCTTGACTCCTTAACTTTAGTGAACGATAAGTAAACTGAAAAAAAAAAATAGTGAATGAGATCAAGCAAGCTTTAATGAGCTGAACATTGAGTTGCTCCTCGACAGCTTTACTAATTTGCAACACTACTTTGTTGCAGGGGCTTCACAAGTTAACAGCTTACGTTGATGCAGTTAAACGTTGATGTCTAAGCTATATAATTGTTTGCTTAGTGATTCTTTGAGCTTTGTTTGCTTATAGCTTGATGATAAATGCTACAAGAGCGACCAATTCATTTTCAAACTGTAAGTCATGCTGATAACTCCGACAACCCATCGGAATACTTACCTATGCGGTGCTTACCTACAGCATCTTTTTGTATTATGGCTACAAACCATTACCATTTTCACTACTGATATATATGATTGCATCTCATAGTTATACTAGATTTCTTTTGACACATGAAAATTTGTAGTGCTTCTCCAGTTTCCTCTTTATTGTGAGTATGCAATATTTTTTGCTGACCGGTTAGTTCTCCAGTGCCAAAGTGGGCATGTGGCCTGCTCCTCTTGCTGCTCCAAGCTCTTAAACAAATGCCACCTCTGCTCTCAGTCCATTGGCTACAACCGTTGTCTTATACTTGAAAAGGTCATAGAGTCCATCAAAATCACCTGCTCGTATGCCAAATATGGGTGCAGAAAAGCCATGTCTTACGCAGACAAAGATGCCCATGAAGAAACATGCATCTATGCTCCATGTTCCTGCCCTGTTCCAACTTGCAGTTTCTGTGGATCCAGAGAAATGTTGTCTGCTCACTTTATTAACACACACACCTTCTTCTGCGAAAGATTCAGCTATAACCAGATCTTCAAGGTTGAGTTCCACAAGACGGATCCATTTCGAGCCTTATATGGAAAGGATGGCCATCTATTTCTCCTCCTCAACAACAGTGTTGCAAATGTGGGTAATGCTCTTTCTATGGCCTGCTTCAGGCCTAGATCTCTCAAGCACGAGTTCTCGTATGAGCTTACTACAGACGAGCACAACTCGAGCAGCCTGCAGTTAAAGTCGTCAATCACAGAGTGGAAGGCGGTTTACCCTATGAAGGTTTTTCTTTTGGTTCCCCCCCATTTATGTACCCCCGTTGGGAAGATCGTCCTAAATGTTTGTATAAGAAAGATCAAGAGAGCTTCTATCAAGTAATCACATTTTCTTATGTTGGAATCATATAAGCTGTAACTTAAGTCTTTGACATAGTGTTGTTAACTCTGTGTAAAGGAAGTGTTATGGAAACAAAGCCTTATCTGTATACAAAGGTTGATTCATTCCCCTTGCCACACAATAACAAGCAGTGATTTGTGTTATCTGAGCTGAGGTGCCTCATGTTCGCTGTAACTCAAGTCTTCGACAGAGTGTTGTTGTTATCCCTGTATAAAGGAAGTGTAATAATGGAAACAAAGGTCGATTCATTCCCCTTCCTTGCCACAATAACAAGCAGTTCTTTTATTATTCGAGGCACCTCATGTTCTGCTGTGCAAAGGCTGACTTCTCTCAAACTTTCTACAGGCCTTTTCATTTCAGCTGTCATGGTCTGGTGAGAACGTGCAACGTCGTGCAAACGCACGGGCAATGGGAAGGAGCAACCTGTGTCACGTGAAGTCACTGTCGCCTTGCTCCTTTACTGAAGCATCTACGCCAGCCGTAATACAGGTGAACTCGTATTTTGTGTGTCTCTCTCCACAAGGTTGCTCGTTCTTGGGAGTGTCACTTGCACGAGGACTTCACGTAACTTTTCATACAAGTAAAAGAGGTAGATGAAAAGATATGCTAAGTCACATCTCTGCCACTATGACAATGATATCAACACGCCCATGTGGGCTTCCCTCAGTAATATATAGTGGCAAGTGTAGTGGTGGAGTGAACCTGCAGCAGCATTCAACTCTTTCTAAGATCATCATAGTGACTGCTCGGAGTGTGGCTTTTCCTTGTGTTCGATCTTCACAAGCGCAGCAGAGGGAATGGGTAAGGAGGAGTTCGAGGTTCTCAAGCTCAAGGTTTGCTTCCTTTCCTCTCTCTCTCTCTCTCTCTCTCTCTCTCTCTAACACACACACACACCTTTACACTTTTCATGAAGGGATTATGTGAAGAAAACTCTATGTTTGATACTTGCAGACACATATCCTGAAGGTGAACATACACTGCGATGGTTGCAGGCTGAAAGTTAAGAAGCTCCTCCATAGGATCGAAGGTACTTTGTCGTTTATCTAACTTTTGAAGGCTTCTTCGTTGTGATGCTGCTGTTTTGGTGTGTCTGAGACCTTTCCTTCATTCACTTTGTTCTGTCGTTTCCCATGGAACACACTTTTGCTTTCCTTTCAGCAACGTTATCTTTTTCAGATCATACATCTAGTAGAAATCAAGGAATCCCAAGTTCTGGTCGTTTTCCTTTCGGCACCATGTAAACCCCAAAATGGAGAGATCTTACGGCAGCAGATGTAACTCTTGACTATAAAATTGATGTCTCTCATCACATGATTCTACTTTTGAATCTTACACAGGAGTCTTCTCAGTAAACGTAGACGTGGAGAACCAGAAGGTCACAGTCCAAGGGAATGTGGACTCTGAAACTCTAATAAGGAAGCTGACAAGATCAGGGAAGCATGCAGAGCTCTGGTCTGGGAAAGCCAGCGGCGACCAGAAGAACAGCCACAGCCAACAGAAGCAAGTTGCTCCACCGGTGAAGGACGGAAACAAGAACAAGAAAGACCAGGGCAAGCAGGACCTCAAAGCCCCCAAACACCAACCCAAAAAGCTTTCTCCCCTCAGCTCTGATGAGGATGACGATGACGATGGCGAGGACGACGAGGACGTTGACGATGAGGTGCGACTGTTCGATAAGCTCAAGCAGTTTAATCTTCTGATGCAGGCAAACAATGCAGCAGCTGGTGCAAAGAAGAATACCAATGGCAACGCAACCGGCTTCATGGGTGGAAAGAAGGATGGGGCAAATCCGAACCAGAGTCACATGAAGCACCCAAATGGATCAGCGAAAAAGGGTGTAAATGTGGCAGCCCACCAAAAGACGATCAACACCCATCCGAGTAAAGGGGAAGGAAGAAGGGTGACAGACATCAATGGCATGACAGGTCTCGGCCTGGGTGGGCTCGGTGGAAACAGCAATGGAGGAGGCTTCCAAGGAAATGTCTTCCATGGCTACGCAGGCCTCCCCTCACATGGCGGAGGGCAGCATCAGCCCCCCATGATGGTGAACATGCAGGGATATCAGGCCCATCCGTCCCCCATGATGAGCAATTTTAGAGTGCATGACAACAGATACATGCAGCCGCAGATGATGCATCTCAGGTCCCCTCAGATATCCCCTTACACTGCCTACTACAATTGCCATCCGAGTCCTTATCTCCAGAGCAATCAATCATACAACGAGTATGTAACTCATCTTTTCAGTGATGACAACACCAGAGGTTGTGTTGTCATGTAAGGAAGCACTGAGTCAAGTAGTAGTAGCAGGAGACCTCTGTTCTTTTCCTTGCTATGACTTCTCTGTGTAAGTTATCGAGAGTTGGAGCTTGTTGTGTTGCAGATCGTTACTCTGCTTTCCACTGTCTTTGTTACCACAAAAGCCATGTCTCATTTACGCTGCTATCGGTGTCTGTGCGCGTGGGCTCCTCATCGATGAGACATTGCCAACAAATGAATAAGAGGCATTTAATGGATGCTTCACTGTAGGAAACATCCCATGTGGTGTGGGCATTAATACATATATCGACAACCGGTAAAAATGAGATGCGCAGTTACCGATCGGATAGGCTGTGAAATGCAACTTCTTCCAATCGGAAGAACTCTTATTCCAAGATTAAGAGATTGGAAGAACCCGAGCTAAATATTAGGTCAATTATAATATCAAATGTATGTGCTAATTGGACTATTAATTTTATTTGACATAAGCTATTGATAAGATGCTTAAATTGAAATTGATAACAGTACATTTCAATTTTAATTTAAGATATGAGATTAATTGAAATATGTCACTAAAATATATATTAAAATCTAACCATGATCTGTGACATGATGTCGCAAATGATTCCAGATTGGGCTCGTACTTAAAAAAGAAAGTAGTGATGCTACAGCGTGGTACTAATAAATAGATATTAGATAGAGATGAGGAGTGTCAGGGGGTCACCGTTTCGTAGGAAGCTTCGTCTTTGGTTTCCGTGAGCGAAAGCAGCAGACACCCACATGGAGCTAAAGTCTCTGACATGATGCTCTTGATTCCATCTTTCATCTAATCTTACCTTTATCCAGTTTTATTAGCAATCATTGTAGTGCTGCAGCTCAAAAGCAGCGGTTTGTACTCTGGCATTCTTACCTTAGAAGTCGATTTAGATTTGGATTAACACATCGTAGGCCCAATAAGTTCTGATAAGGTTAACTCGAGATGCTTTCCCAAGCCCACATTGGATAGCCGAATCATTCTGAGATGTAATGACAAGAACGAATGGCACACACACCAAAGCTACAAAAGAGAAGAAGAATCACAGGAAAAAGAATCAATTTAAGACATGATTATTACGGATCTAAAACACTCTTGATCATTCCAGAAGCTTCGCTGTACACGACAATACAGTCTTCTAGAACTTTCGAGAGTCTTCAGGACCTTCTTATTCGCTTACAATAATCGAAGCACCCAACCACAAATCACGCAGACTTAATACTAATTCCGGAAAACTCTTTTAAGGAAGCAATTTCAATGGACGAATCATGGCGTTATCTTCGTGATCCAATATCTGCAAAGAGAAGAATCAAAGGGTCATGTGGACTCGAAGGTCGTAAATCAATGGAGAACGCGAACAAGCGGCAAGAACGCATGCAGAGGTGAGAGATAGAGAGGCTCACATGGCAGTGGTAGACGTAACCGGGCTCAGCCGATGCGTCGAATGGGTACGTCTGATTCGTGTCCACCAGTTTGAACGCCACCACCACCGTCGTCATGTGTCCCGGCTCGATCTTTACCACGTTCTTCCATGTCTTCTCGTAGTCTGCTGTGGGCAGTACGTTCCCCACGGCGTGTGCCGTCACGTTGCACTTGACCGCGTCGTTCTGCAGCGTCATGCAGCTCTTGAACGTCGCCTGGTCCACCAGCTCCTGCACTTTGATCGCCTGGAACATCCCCAGGTGGATGTGCAGCGGATGGTTGTCGTTGGTCAGGTTGATCACGTGCCACAGCTCCGTCGTGCCGGACTTGGGCGTCTCTGTCGCCGGGTCCTCGAACCTCAGGCCGTTGATGTACAGGTGCGTCGGTGTCCCCGCATTGCTCTGGTACTCGTACATGGTGATGTACCTTGTCTGCGTCACGTCGCCGGTCGCCGTCGACCCTGCGTACGGCACGCACTTGGGTGGCACCGTCGAGTTGTCGGGCGGGTCAGACGGATTGCATGGAAGCATGATGAATTTCATCACCTTGCCGTCTAGCGGGCCCGGCACTGTGCCGGTCGGGTACGGTAACGGAGCGTCGTTGATCAGCTCCGCGGAGGTGGTGGTCGATTGCGAGAAGTCGATCACCACGTCGGCGATCTCTGCCGGTGCTAAAATAATGGTCGGAGTCTTCACAGGCGACGAGAGGTACGACGAGTCGGAGCCGATGACGTCGAATGGAAGGTTGTTGGACAGAGCCAGGCGGAAGTAGCGGGCGTTGCTGGAGTTGAGGATGCGGAAGCGGTACTTGCGGCGCTTGACGTTGAGGTAGGGCCAGGCCTTGCCGTTGACGGTGATGGCCTGGCCGAAGTACTCCGGCTGCCACTGTGGGTGGACGGAGGGGTTGTTGCCGGTGGAGTTCATGAAGAGGGAGCCGTCCACGTTGAAGCTCCGATCGGCGATGATGAGGTGGAGGTCGTACTGGTCACCGCACGGCAGCTGGAGGGGGTCATCAACGGATGGCTTCTCGATGACGTAAGCACCGAGGAGGCCGGCGAGGAGGTTGGCGCGGGTGAGGCCGAGGGCGTGGTCGTGGTACCACAGGTTGCCAGGTGGCTGGACGTTGGGGTAGCTGTAGGTGGCTTGGGTCCACTTTGGGCCGACCTCACGGAAGCCGGCGGTGAACCACGCGAGGGCGCTGCCGTCTGACTGCGGTGGGTGGACGCTGCCGTGGAGGTGGACGACGGTGGGTACACCGCCAGACGAGGGGTTTGCCGTCGGGACGGTGAGGTCGAAGGGAAGGATGTGGCGGTCCGGCAGGTTGTTTTCCCAGGTGACGGAGAGTGGAACGCCATGGCGGGCAATGATGGTTGGCCCCGGGAAGGTGGCAGCGGCGGCGCTGGTGCCGTAGACAAATACTGGTGTCGGAGGCAGGTCACGGTGAAATTTCTGCATCGGTTGCTCGATATATTTAGTATATAAAATAATATAAATATATTTTTATATCTTAAATATTCATTATAAGGTTCTCATCGATTCGATATCATCTCTCGGATAAGAATTTTAGTTGAAGAATAAACTATCATTAGAAAATCAAATATAGAATCGAAAGAAAATAATCTCGAAAATGACTAATAGTTGAACAGTTGGAACGACAGGACAAATTTCTTTTCCTTGTGGTGAGATAATGAAAAGTTCTTTAAGCTGCAGAGTAATAATAAATATAATAGACTACGATGAAGCTTTAGGAATGAGCGAGAGAAGCATGCATACCCATGTCTTTTGGTGCATCCCTATCGTGAGGGAAACAGAGGCCGCGCCGCCGTGTCGCGTGCTGTAGCCGACGATCTTTGGCATCTGCGGCAGGGGGTCGACGTACATCTGCAACGAGCCGGCCACCTTCTGAAGGATTTGTTCCGTCACGGGGGACGGCGGGGCTTGAGCGGCGGCAAGAGCCACCAGTTGGAGAAGAAGAAGAGGAACCAAGCGAAGTTTGATTCTCATACTGCAATGAGTAAGCTGGCACGGAAGCGGATGTCATGCCATAGTCAGCATCTATATATCCAGAAACCTAAAGATGACATATCTTCTGCGTAAACCCTAATGCTAAGAAGAAATGAGGCACTGAAGTCAATAGATATGAGGATCTCCAAGCTGAACGTAAGCAAGAGAGAGAGAGAGAGAGAGAGGAGGTAATCCACCTTGAAGCAAAGATGAAGCTGGGCGTGTGTCTATCACAAGTCCTCGATCAACACCCTTTTTATAAGGAGAGCAAAAGAACAACCTCCCCTTCGTAATGACTTGTATTAAAAGATGGCTCTCGTATTCTACAATCATACAAAAAGAGTCGCAAAAGTCTATGGTGGATGGAAAAACGAGAGTTCTCATTTCTTTGCTTGTGTTGTTATTCCAATCTCTATCTCAAATGTCAACAATGAGCTCCTCAAAATAAGATAATTCCACTGTGCGAAGTATATTGTAACCCACTTGAGCATACAGCTAGGGTTTGAGTTGTTGGGTTGCACCACACCAACCGTGCATGACCAGAAGACGAGTTGGCCAATCCCATGTTCTTACGTGATTGAAGAAGGAACCCAAGGGACATGCATTGATTGGCTAAACGAAACAGACAAGCCAAAGACAGCTAATGGAAGTCAAAGGTCTGATGCATGATGAACATATCAATGAAGAGTCTCTCATCAAATAATTGGATAGGTGATGAGGAAAGTAGTAATGGTAGTTCATCGGAGACTTTTCTGACGTTGTTGAGTCAAAACTACAAAAAAGTTGAATTAACGATATCCAATACGAAGTTAGCTGAGGAAATAATTTTCAACATCCCTTCTTGTCTCAGAATCAACGATGTCGAGTGCATGTGTTGTGGCATGATATTACTAATTCTACTGTGTTAGTCTGATCGGAATTCGACAGTGACACAGTCCACTAGGGAACTTTTCCGACGAGGAGACTCGATCTACAAAATGTTTGAGTTGCAACCTCAGGCGTCTCCTGTTAGTAGTCGATCAGGCTCAGCTCATCGCAAGAAAGAAGCTGACCTAAGGTAAGCTGCATGGCATGGAATTATATCCCCCCTTCATTATCAACATGAGCTGAGCAATGTGACATTTGATCATCTTTGAGATCGTAGAGATCTAAAAGCTTCCTCTCCATCTTCAAATCGAAATCACAGCCCACACTTGGTTGCAAGAAACTATGTATTGAAGATGTTATTTACTTCCTTTCGTGTGCTGCTTCTCCCGTAGGAGCTCCATGTTCATCCCTGGAAGTCGTACTTGTTTATTAGGATGTTGAAGAATCCCATTTCTTTCAGTGGACTTTCCATCGATTGGCATCGTACTGAATAGGTGATTCAACGAATTTGGTTGCAAGGAATCCTCAACCACTCTAATAGTTCTTAGCAAGTGGAGCTCTCTTCGATCCTTTGGCCGATGTATCAGTTCCATACCACCTTACATGTTTGGAACTACACGACAAAGACGAGCCAATGGCAGTGCAGTGAGTTAGATTATCTCTCCTACCTATTAAACCTGTTGGAGACTAACAAAAGACTGTTCGGGTCTTTCAGTCGGTAGTGATAGAAATGAAATAAAAAGAAGATTATATTGAATGAAATAATACATAATATTTCATATTTATACATGTTTAGAAGGGGGAGTGATTGAGATGAAGTCACGGTCCACGAGACAGTAGGAGTAGAAGCGAGATTCAGTGGAGTCCGATGGGGAGACAGGTCTACTTTGAGATGTTTAGAAGTGGCATTCACGGCGAGAGCTCTGATACCATGATAAAAATGAAATAAAAAAAATATTATATTGATTGAAACAATAAATAATACTCCATATTTATGCATGTTTAGAACGAAGAATTTTACTCAACATAAGAGGATTTTCAGGAGATGTAGACTGTTATCATATAAATGGAACCTTGTACAAGCTTCTCTACCTGTTTCATTAACGGGAGCTATCGTCGCTATGAAAGAAAACTTATGTAGAGCGGGTGGAAACTATTCTTTAATAGCATAAGTTGACATTATATATTCGGATGTTTCATGCCAACTTGGATTGATATTATTTCTAATATAATGATATTATCGATCAATCATTCGATATGTATCCTTTATATAATATCTAGATTAGAGAAAAATACAAAAATTAATTTTCATCGGTGGCATCGGTCCAAGATAGACAATCATAGGTTATCTTCATTCTTGTCGCATATGTGAAAAAATATTTCATATAATATGTAGTTCCTTCGGTGGTCCATATGAAAACTCATTTTTAGCATAACCAACAAGTTACTTTTTTATCAGTGACGATTACATTCATCTTTTTCGGATTACTAAATCTCTTTTTATCTTGATATTTATGCATGTGGCACCTTAGATGATACATCTACGCTCACCGTTACAACCATTCAAGAAAAATAAGAGAGGTCATCAAGGCCGGCCGCCTCCTTTTCCCCAACATATCCTACGCCAAATCGTCCTCAAGAACATGTACGAGGGTTTCTCTGTGGGTTAACTCGATCATTTTGAGTCCTACAACATACTCAGCAATACTTCCATTAGACGGATTACGATGCATTAACAAGCCAAATGTGGGTAAAAAGCTCAGTTCATTCCATAGTTAACCAATGGCCCATTGCCTTCGCGGCGGTGCAAGCACTTGCCCGACGCCCGTGTACACCTCTCATCACCTGTCTCCCTTCCCTAATCCATCGGCAAAGTTCCAAGCGAGGTGGGTTTGGCGCCTAACTTTGGACACCCAGCAGGACTCCCTTATCGTATCTCCTTGACCGTCAAAGATCGATGACCTCTTCTCCTTGTAGTTGGCCACGAACTCAATGCAACAGATTCCAGATCTTATGATCTCCGAGCAGATGTCAGTGCCTCACGACCTGTGCCATGTCGGATTGCCGGTTTTCGATGTAGGCCTACTTTTGACTGACGACGTTGCTGTGGATGCATCACGTATGCCGAAACTCTATTGATGTTCTCCATCTTACGGGATTTTAGGCTTTGGTCAATGATGATTCTTCTTTTCACGGGATTTTGATACTTCATTAAATATTGGTACGATACTAATATATTAGATCTATTTATCGGATTCGAAATTTCAATCGGTATGAAACTTCGAAACCTCATCGAAGATAGTTTAGATACCTAAAGGAGGGTTGAAACATTATGATGTACTTTGTAAAGAAGATTGAGAGTAATAGACAAACCCAATCAACCACATCATGTTGAATATATCGCATCAGGTCAGCTCAATAAATAGAAGCAGAATCTCGAGTTCACCTCAGTCTCTGACAAGCGACTGTGGCAACCTGCACACCTCTACCGTGCATGCATCTGCCCAGAGAACTGCAATCAGCTGCCGAGGGGAAGAAACCTAAGCTTCTGCTAGCCTAAAAAGGTTTGGGAGACCGAGCCAGCCCAACAGGAAGGACCAGCGTCTTCCCCATTAGTTTATCATGTGAGAGAGAGTACGTTGCATGTGTCGGAAGTCTCCTGCACCGATGAACCTGCCTGCCTATCCAACACTACCATGACTACACATTAGATTAAGACTTTTCCCATTGTCTTCTTTCTTTGGAACTTGAGATGGTTCTGCTCCCACGCCTCGTTGCTGCGGGCACGATTCGCAGTTGCCACGAGGAACGGAGTTCCGATGTCTGCGGCCGCGTCACGAGCACATGTCCCCCGGCAAGCTTGTCGTGGCTGCATGCGAGGGAAGAACCTGATGCAGTCGAGCATCACAGGTGCTCACTCATCACATCGCAAGTTCCTTGCGATCTGCCACAACCTTTGAGTAGGAAAAGCCTGTAATGCATGAGGGTGAACCTCCAGCTGATGCTGCATCGAGCTGACCATTGTCTGAGACGGTATGTCGGTCAAGAGGAAAGAGTCTCAATTGCATGGAACACGAGTTTCCAGCTGATCACCAACTGAAGCGATCTCATCACCAATCCAGAATTATTGCCACACAGCTGAAATCTAAGGAACACTATTTGCACTAACCTTATCCTTGATATGTGATTAGGAATTGCAAGAGAAGGTTTCCTTTCAATTACATCAATTCTATCAATTATGAAACCATGGCTCAATGAATTAGGATACATAAATATATATATATACATGTAGAGCTTGAGAGGAAACCTCATACATAGTGCTCAACATCACATGAAATCAGAAGAGAGAATTCAGAATCTCCAACAAAATTCACTTCCAAGAGAAAGAAAAAGCTTTGATGAGTAAAAGGAGATAAAATCCATATCTCGCATACGCACGCGTTTCTCTTTTTCCTTTAGACTATACAACAACAAGAGAAGCTTAGAATTTGCAAAGCCGATCCTTCGAAATGAACAAATGGGTAAAAGACAGCACGGAGAAAAGAGGAGACGGAAAAGTAAAAAGGAGATGGAAATGTCACTTGTTGTGAAGTGGGTCAGGGCAACTCGGCACACGTCGCTTACTCTCATCGACGCCGGAAGCCGAGGTTGCCGCGTGAGACGGCGCCAGTCTTTTCGCGGTCATAACCTCCAGATCTCTACCGCCTGTCTCTGGGCGAAGTACCGGAATCGCCACCGCTCGGTAGCAGCAGCAGACGAAGATGGTGTACAGTACCACCAAGCAGAAGAAAGGCATCCGCCTCCTGTTCATCTTGTCGGTTATCGGGAGCATCGATCGCACGGCCACCACTACCCAAAGGCGTTTCTCGGAGTCTGGTGACGCTGATGATTGTCTTCTACTACTTGGCCTGGAGAGAGGTAACCACAAGAGTTTGTAAGGTTGGAGAGGAAGCAGCAGTCGTACTCATTTCAAGACGCAAAGAGGGAGAGGGAGGGTGAGAGTGGGATTCTGCTCTTGGCTTGGAGTCACATAATGGCATTTGGGTTCGCGCATCAGCCAGATGGAGAAGTGAGTCCCGCGTATAACGCTCTCTCTCTCTCTCTCTCTCAGCCAATATTTTACCTCTGATAGGAATGGCTGAAAGAGGCTGAAACATGTGAGTCCATAAATAATCATACAGATGTGATCTATATCTGTCCAAGCGGGCCCCATTGGTACGGCTTCACATGTGGACTCACGTGCCCGCTGTATTCCTCTTGCGTTAAATGTCGCGCAGACATATCAAGATCCCAAAAAACACACACTTACAATCATTTCAACCCCCTCAAATCACTCGTAAAGATGACAACCATTACGATACCAATGTTAGGTTCGGCAGCCTAACCATTGC